AAAAAAAAAAAAAAAAAAAAAAAAAAAAAAGTTGAATGTATTTTTGTAAAAAAAGATACATAATTGGCCAATAATCACATGAAAAGATGCATAGTATCATTAGCCACGAGAGAAATTAAAACAAAACCGCAGTGAGATGAAGATTTCACACCCACCAACATGGCTATAATCAAAAGTAACAGATGTTAACATTTATTTGTTAGGTTGTGGAGAATTTGGAACCCTGATACAGTGCTTGTGAGACTGTAAAACAGTGCAGCCACTCTGGAAAACAGTTTGCCGTTCCCTCAAATGATTAAACACAATTACCATATGGCCTAGCAATTCCACTCCTAGGTGTATATTTACCCAAGAGAAATAAAAACGTATGTCTACACAAAAACTTGTATAAGAATGGTCACAGCAACATTACTCATAATATCCAAAAAGTGGAAATAATCCAAAAATCCATTAACTGATGAACAGATAAACAAAATGTTGCTTATCCATACAAGAGAGTATTATTTGGCAGTAAAAGGAAAACAAGTACTGTACATAGGACATGGATGAACCTTGAAGACATTATACTAAGTGAAAGAAGGTAGCCACTGAGTGCCACATATTATATGATTCCATTGATATGAAATGTTCAGAACAGGCCAATCTACATTGAATTGTATGGTACATCAATTGTGTATCAGTCAAGCTGTTACCAAAAAAAGTTAACAGAAGAAAAATTTGATACCCTTACAGATTAACATGAAGGATTAACTAAGGATAATTTACTTTTAAATTCTTCGTAACGAAACAAATTGCTTCTGCCTGTGCAACTCACCAAAATAGGCGTAAATACTCTAGAAGCGCTAGTAATTTTTCAGTCACACATATAGGCAAAAACATCATCTTTTAAAGTAGAATTTGTGAGGACTTCCCTGGTGGCGCAGTGGTTAAGAATCCACCTGCCAATGCAGGGGACACGGGTTTGAGCCCTGGTCCAGGAAGATCCCACATGCAGCGGAGCAACTAAGCCCGTGCATAACTGCTGAGCCTGCGCTCTAGAGCCCGAGAACCACAACTACTGAAGCCCGCGCGACTAGAGCCCGTGCTCCACAACGAGAAGCCACCACAATGAGAAGCCGACACACCACAACAAAGAGTAGCCCCCACTCGCTGCAACTAGAGAAAGCCAGCACACAGCAACGAACACCCAATGCAGCCAAAATATAAATAAATAAATACATTAAGAAAAAAATGAACGCACTAAAGTAAAATTTGTGAACTGGTTAGATATCAAAACCACAAAATGAAAACTCTTTTGATTGAAGGCTCAAATGGAAATCCTCAGCCCCCTACCATGATGATTACCTATAAAATGAGATTCAGAAGTTTGAATCTTAGTTGTATGTGACCATGGGCACATCACTTTAGGCTATCAAGCCTGAAGTTCTCCCTCAGTAAACACCGTCTTCCTCAGTAAATTGTTCTGAAGATTAGCAGAGAGTAGAAGAAAGCACCTAACACTGAGCACTCAATACAGGAACATAAGACACCCACTAAGTGAACCTGAAAAGTAGGCCACCTAAGGGAGAAATAAGAAACAAGTGATTCCTGTTGATGATCGCTTCTTATCTCCTCTGCTCTTCAGCACTAGATGAATTAATTTTTCCATAAATATCATTTTCAGACCCATGCATTTAATACCACTGATACTCTCAGAATTTACATAATAAATACTATCCTTCTATTTATACACCAACAAATTGTTTTGAAATTTTTTTCTTTTAAAAAACCACAAATTAGGTAATACTGGGGGGAAAAGCTTTTAAAAAGTATTAAGGCAGGGACTTCCCTGGTGGTCCAGTGGTTAAGAATCCACCTTCCAATGCAGGGGACGTGGGTTCGATCCCTGGTCCGGGAACTAAGACCCCACATACCACTGGGCAACTGAGCCTGAGCTCCACCAACTAATGAGCCCGTGTACCACAACTGCAGAGCCCACGCAATCTGAGCCCCACCAACTAAGGAGCCCATGTACCACAACTGCAGAGACCACGCGCTCTGGAGCCCCTGCACCACAACTAGAGAGAAGCCCACACACCGCAACGAAAGATCCCACATGCCACAACTAAGACCCAACACAGCCAAAAATAAAATAAACATTTTTTTAAAAAATGTATTAAGACCAGGACTCCCCTGGTGGTGCAGTGGTTAAGAATCCGGCTGCCAATGCAGGGGATACAGGTTCGATACCTGGTCCAGGAAGATCCCATATGCCATGGAGCAACTGAGCCCGTGCGCCACAAATACTGAGCCCACGTGCTGCAACTACTGAAGTCCGCGCGCCTAGAGCCTGTGCTCCGCAACAAGATAAGCCACCGCAATGAGAAGCCCGCGCACCGCAGTGAAGAGTAGCCCCCGCTCACCGCGACTAAAGAAAGCCCGTGTGCAGCAACCAAGACCCAACGTAGCCAAAAAATTTAATTAATTTAAAAAACACATAAATAAAAAAATTTTTTTAAATAAAAAATGTATTAAGACCAAATAAGTTTAACACTAAAATGAAATATGTACAACCAATGTTAGCTATGTAAGTCATAACCTTATTGTGGAAATAGCAACTTTAATGTGGAGAAAAAGTTAAGTAATGAATGATGACATATATAAAATACAGCCATTAAAACTAGTCACCTAGACAGTAATTAAGTGAAAAGAAACCACTGTAAAATTAAGAAATGGCAAAAAGTAGAGATCCTATTTTTTAAAAAGTATACATAAAAAATTGAAAATATACAACAAAACTGAAATTTTCCCAGTTCTCTCCATTTTCCTTTTTTTTAATTCTAAAAATTTCTTAAATCAACTAATTTAGACTTATTATTGAAAACATTTTTAGATTTTGGGGAAAATTGTTAAACTGTTCAGTGACTCAACAATTTTGAAAGTATCAAAATATAACTGACACCAAAAAATCAAAATTTAATAAGACAAAGACACTGGTCATATTCTTTTTTTTAATACTTTAAAAAAAATATATTTATTTATTTATTCAGTTGGCTGCACTGGATCTTAGTTGCGGCATGCGGGAATCTTTTAGCTGCGGCATGCGGGAATCTTTTAGCTCCCTGACCGGGGATCGAACTCAGGCCCCCTGCATTGGGAGCACAGAGTTTTAACCACTGAGCCACCAGGGAAGTCCCAACACTGGTAATATTCCTTATGCTGACTTGCATGGTGGCTATGAGTATATATATTTGTAAAACTTCATCACTGTCAATAATACCTCAATTTAAAAAAATTCATAAAGGTGTACACATAAAAGTCATGCACTTTTACCATATGTCACAGTTACTACCTGAAAGCTCTACAGATTATGGCCGATTCTAAATTAGGCCCCAAGGTTTTCACAAAACTGTGAAAGGACATAAAGTACTTAGGGCTAAAGAATATATGGTATCTGGGATTTGTTTTATGATATTGCAGGTGAGGTTAGTTTAGTCTAACAGTTTGTTTAATTAAAACTGTTAAGTGATTAATGGTGTAGAATTCCCAAGTAACTCTCATTTCCTATGCCATGTAATTGTGAAGTGTGTGTACTTTTTTACTTTTGTAATAAAATGGTTTTGAAGCCTGGAGACAATCAATCACAGATTATAACAAATTCCAAAGAGATTGCAAATTCTTTTACATAACTAGATTTTAAAGCTTTAAATTACACAGAAGCCATCTACTAGAGCTTAGGAATCTTGCTACACATGGTCTTTCTTATAATGGAATTTCATCTGCAAGTTTTCTTGTTTATGTCTACCACTTAAGCAAAGCAACATCAATTCCTCTCCTCAGTATGACTCACTTCAGCATGGGGTTCAGTCCTGCAGAGTGACAACTACTGCAAAAGGGATCTGATGCAAACAGCATTCCAGAGCCCCTTTTCACTTCTGATACAGAGTAGAGTACTAGGTTACCCTAACCATTTTGTTCAGACCAGTAATCAGTCCTCAAAGGTACCAATTCACATCAGGAAAATGTTAACGTAACTATCAGTAGTTACAAACACTGCTTTTAAAAAATGAGACCCCTTGGGCTTCCCTGGTGGTGCAGTGGTTGGGAGGCTGCCTGCCGGTGCAGGGGATGCAGGTTCACGCCCCGGTCCGGGAGGATCCCACATGCCGCGGAGCGGCTGGGCCCGTGAGCCATGGCCACTGAGCCTGCGCGTCCAGAGCCTGCGCTCTGCAGCGGGAGAGGCCACAGCGGTGAGAGGCCCGTGGACCTCAAAAAAAAAAAAATGAGACCCCTTAATGAAAGTCAATTTAAAAGTGAATAATTAAGGGGTGTTGGGGAGAAATGGGGAGCAACCACTGAGAGGGGTTTCCTTTTGGGGTGAAGATGTCCTAAAATTGACTGTGGTGTTGGCTGCACAATTCTGTGAACACACTAAAACCAATGCATTCTAACTTTCAATGGATGAATTGTGTGGGAGTGGAGTACATCTCAATAAAGCTGTTATTTAAAAAATTGAATTGCCAAATATGACAAAATATTAATAACTCTTCAGTATAGCTGATGGGGACCCATGGGTGCAGTGGGGCATTCTCTTTACTTCTGAGATGTTTGAAAGTTTTCATTTTTAAAGTGTTTCATTTGGGGGGTAGTGTACACTTATAAACAAGAAAGGTCCTCTTACCTGTATGAGTTCGAACATGCTGAACATAATTGTTTTTTCTGTCTGAAAAATAGTTGCATTTTCCACATGTGTATACTTTCCTTGGAAAATGGTTTCTCAAGTGTTTCCTCCAGTGATATTCGCTTACTGTGGTGTACGTGCAAATGATGCACTTGTAGACTCGCTCATTGTCCCCGGCTCGGGTGTGGTGTTTCAGGTGAGCAGTATAGTGATCATAGCGATTGGTATTGTAGCCGCAGCGGTCACAGCGAATGGGGCCCTTGGAGAAATCTCCCTCTTCCCCAGTGGAAGAGCCGCATTCCCTGGCTTTGGCTTGCTTCTCTGCACTTTCCTCCACAAAAAATTTCTTGGCACTATGAACTCGGATGTGATGCACAAACTGTTCTTCAGATTCTGCTTCATACTGGCATGGTTTACAGCGAAAGGGCTTGGTCTTCAAGTTCTTGCATTTGTCCTCTGCTACAGGTGTTTCCCGAGGAAGATCTTTATTTGCGCTGTACGGTTCTGAGGCAGCTGACACCTCAAACACAGGCCGCGGTTGCACAACACTGAGTTCCAAACTCTCCAGTTCCATGTTTTCCAGCGCACTGGGCTCGCCTTTGACCTCAGGAGACTCCTCAAGTCCTTCTCCATCACTATCTGAAAAGTTGTTATCCCCAACAGGCATCAATTCTGCCATCTGTCTTTCTTCGCCAACCAGGTAATCACAGCAGCCGCCGTTTACTTCCCCCGTTAAGGCCACATTTGCCAACATGATGAGCTGAGGCGCAGCCAGTTCAGCTCTGGAGAGATCAGGCAAGTCATACATGTCGTTAGGCAAGGCCATGCCCATGGTGCCACTGCCGGTGAACAGACCTCCTCCTCCGGAAGACTGCCCCATTACCTGGGTGGCCATAACGGTGTTCTGCATTCAAAACAAAACAAATAACACGAAAGCACCACTTTAAACACAACTTTTACTGGTCTAAAACCACAACATCACTGTAATTCTCCGTAACTTAAAAAATATACATTTTCCCATATAATCTTTAAACTCAATCAGCCTCATTAACTACTGAAAATAAGCCTTTACAATATTTTTGTAATTCCAAATTCTCTTTACTGCAGTCATCAAAAATATTTCTATGACCCCCTACAAAAAATTCTATCAAGCGTTTGACACAACTCATCCATCAACTAGGTCTACCACTGGCTTGCCTTCCCTCAAGCACTTTTACTTTTTCTAGTGGAAAAATATAAGTAACCTTCATTTTTAGTGCTAATTAAAATTTTATTTTAAATTCCATATATGAACAGTAAACTGCTGTCCTCTCAATTCCCCCTTCAAAAGTTTACTGGTCTGAATCAGAAAGGGGGAAAATCCAAAAGCTACCTGTGCATTTATTAAGTACAAACAGCCTGAAAAGCAGAGGCCTATAGTTAGTGAATTGAAGTTCATATGAACTCAACTAGCTCCAAAAGAATAAACTACAGTTGACCCTTGAACAAGAGGGTTAGGGGCACCAACCCACAGTGCAGTTAAAAATCTGCATGTAACTTTGGGTTCCATAAAAACTAGACTACCAATAGCCTACTGTTGACCGGAAGCCTTATGGATAACATTAACAATCAGTTAAACATATTTTGCATGTTATGTGCATTATATAATAGTGTACAAGATGAATTGTGCTTGTCAGTATCTTTATCAATATTGTATCATATGATGCAAAATACTGTAGATGTTACACGTATTACTAACATTAGGCATCAAAAGAGAAAAGATAATGTGGAAAAGAAATTCATACTTATTTACAGGTATAACGATTAATGCACTGATAAAGAAGCAGCAACAATGATTGCTTTATGGTAGTCTATTGTGATCAATAGGACTGCTTCACAGTAGCCTAGCCTATATGCAAATGAATTAATCACAAAATTTTTAAGCATATAGTATAAGGCATATTCATAATATAGTACTGGAAATACTGTTTTGTTTTAAAAAACTGCATACATGTGATGATAGGCTGATACGCTTTCTCAAATTATAAGAGGCATACTGTATTTTAATGTAAGTATTTAAAAGCAAAGTTATACAGCAGTAGAAAAACTAATACATTATTAACTTCCTATTAAATATCATCTTATACCTTTGTACAAGTCTTGCACACAATGAATACTTAGGTAATGACGATGATGACACAATGTCTCCCAGCTCTTGTTAAACGATTACTAGATTTTCACAAGACACACACACATCCAACAGATAAGTTTATTAACTGAATGGCATGATTATTTACTATTCATTAAGTGGAAGTGGATCATCATAAAGGTCTTCATCTTTCTGTCTTCAGTTGAGTAGGGTGAGGAGGGCGCAGAAGAGGAGGGGTTGGTCTTGCTGAGTTAGGAGTGGCAGAGTGGAAGGAGGTAGAGGAAGTGGAAGGTAAGGAAGAAAGAGGTGCAGAGGCAGAAGAGGTGGAGGAAGTGGAAGGAGGCAGGCACTCTGTGTAACTTGAGGGAAATACATCTTAATTTCTGTCTGACTTTTTTGCTTTTCCACTTCTCTAAAAATGTTTCTATAGGGTACTAATCCTTCTTCAACCACTGGCTTTAGTTTTAGTGTCTGTATCACACAAGGGTCCAAGTCATAAAAGAAGTCAAAAGTAGTCTTCAACAAAAGGAACCCTGCTGCCAGACTGTCTAATGTCAATTTGTTTTCTGGTACTGCTATTTCCATGTCTTTTTCCTCATCATCTGGCACCGGCTCAGAAACACTTAACTCCAAATCGACTTCCGTTAATTCCTCTGGTATGGTGTCTATTAGCTCTTGAATATTCCCAAGATCTGTATCTTGAAGCCCTTCACCGCCCCCCCCACCTTTTTGCCATACCCACAATCTCTTTCATGACTTCCTTGATTGGCTGTCGTAAATCCTGTGAAGTCATGCACATCTGGACACAGTGTTCTCCAGCAGGAATTTATTGTTTTAGGCTTGCTGGCTTTCACAGCTTTTTCTATCACAATGATGTGATCCTTCCAGACTTTCATGATGTTCTATCGGGGTTGTCTTTCATAGCATTGACAATCCTTTCAAAGAGTACCACAAGTAATGAGCCTTCAAGGTCCTTACAACACCTCGATACAGGCTTCATTCAAAGACGTTGTGTTGGGGGACAAGTATACCACTTTGACACCTTCAATGTTGAACTCATGGTTCTAGGTGGCCAGGGGCATTGTCCAATACCAAAGAACTTTAAAATGCAGTCCCTTACTGCAAGGTACTTCGTGATCAGGGACAAAGCACTGATGGAACCAATCCAGAAAAGTGTTCTCATCGCCGAGGCCTTCTTGTTGTACAACCAAAAGAATAGCAACTGGTATTTATCTTTTTCCCTTTAAGTATATAGTGCGCTTCAGGAGTTCCCTGGAGGCCTAGCGGTTAGGGTTCCAGGCTTCTGCCGTGGCGCAGGTTTAATCCCTAGTCAGGGAACTGTGGCGCAGGTTTAATCCCTAGTCAGGGAACTGAGATCACGCAAACCGTATGGCGTGGCCAAAAAAAAAAAAAGGATAGTGGGCTTAGCAGCTTTATAGATAAGAGCAGTCCTGATCAAAAAATCAATTCGCACAAAACATGTTAGTCTTCAATCAGCCTTAAATCCTGATGCTCACTTCTCTTTCTTACTAATGAATGACCTTTTTGGCAATTTTTTCCAGAGTAGGGCACATTTCTCTGTGTTAAAAACCTGGTTTAGGCAGACAGCCTTTCTCTTCAATGTTCACCGCATCTGGGAACTCAAAGCCGGTTCTGGTATCTTGATATTTTTTTCTAAAATTACCAAACTATCCTCTGCTGGCATTAAATTCTCCAGATTTAGAAACTGCACCTTCCTTTTGCTTTAAGTCGTCATATAACTTCTCTTTTCCTCGAATCATATTAGACTCTATAGGTATGCCTTTCTTATAGTAATACTATACCCACGTAAAAGATGCATTTTCAATATGAGATAGAAAGGCATTTTGCAAAAAGTGCAAGTCTTTCATGTCTGCTGGCAAAAATGCAGAGACAGTTTCCAAATTTCCTTTTCTTTTTTTACAACAATCCTTACACTGGACTCATTGATCTTGAAATGGTGGGTCAGAAACTACAGAACTCAGTTTATGGTTCATATCAAGCAATTCAACTTTTTCTTCTAATGTCATGACTTTACTTCTTGGGAGCATTTCCAGCATCACTAGAACACTTCATATGGGTCCCACGGTGTTATTCAAGGTTTCTGGTATCACACTAAACACGATAAAAAACACTCAGGAACTACGAGAGGTGACTTTTTTTTTTTTTTACTGCAAACACAATTTACTGGAGAGACCAACTGCTCACCCGGAAATGATTAGACTCACAAAACGTTTTGAGTGGATACCTGCAACACTTGCACTCACCAAAATAGCAAAAAGAGGTAGCTATGAAATTATTACCGTACTACAGTATGGACTACAGTTAATATTATGCAGTAATGAGTTACTACTGCATCTTTACATTTGTTTACATTTCTCTGAACTGGAACGGTGCCATGGGTGGTCTGTGTTTGTGTAATTTTTGATAAATTTAAACTTTTTATTAGATTTGTATATATTTTATGGTAGCAAATGATAAAATACACTATTATCTACATATATTTTAGGCATTCATGAGATACCTTTTTCTAAATTTTTTGGATATTTCTAGGCTATGTGTATCATCTGTAAATTTTTTCAAAATGTTGCAAATCTCTAAGAAACTTTCCAATATATTTCCTGAAAAAAAAATCCACATATAAGTGGACCCATACAGCTCAAACTCTTGTTGTTCAAGGGTCCAATGTACTCTGAAAACGTACTTGGTACCATTAAAGTACCACTTAGTTTCTTTTTTTGATGACCTGTTTCAAAGTAAACAAAAGTTATGGACCTTTCTTCCTGTAAAAAGGGAAGTTTGGTGTATTCAAAAATACACAAATGAAAATACAGAAACTTTCAAACCCCCTACTAAAATAACTGGACAACTCATCTCCAAATCAGCAACTTTCTTGCACTGCGCTTGACTTGGCCCACTTGCCTGGTGGAGCCATAACAAGATCACCTTGAAAACATGTTGGGCTTTTTTATAAACTGTCTTAACCATGCTACTTTCCAATCTAAAAGGTGTAATTCTCAAATTAGGTGTTCTCCTGCAAATTAGAAAAAGCAAAATAGGTGGCAAAGGCTAAAAAAGAATGTTAAACCCAAAATACAAAAAGTAATCCTGTCTCACCCAAGTGCATAAACACAAACCGGTTGAGTCATAGGTACCAACAAAAGTTGGAATCAAATGCCATCACACAAAGCAAACGCTGTCCAAGGGTTTAACAGCCCAGACTACTCGGTAATTTCTAATTCTTCCCAAACTCTAACTACCATCCCCAAAGGGATTTTAACGTTGGTCGGGAAGACTGTCCAAGCACAGTCCGAAAGCCCAACGTGCTACGCGAATTCCTACGTGCTGCTGCCACCAGCGCCTGCCTCGGCGGCGGCATTCCTAACTCAAATAGGCATTCGGCCATTTTCTCAAAATACGTACCAAACACAAAGCAGCTCTTTGCAAACTCGGGAGCTCTCGCTTCCTCTCGGCTCGGCCCGCTCACTGCACCACTGACACACCAGTTGCCGCCACACTCGTCCTGAACCTTTCCCTGGGCTCCCCAACACTAAAGACTGCAAGACGGGCAAACTCGGGGTGCCGCTGGGCCAGGTCAAGTCTTCCCCAGTCCAGGCTGCCCCCTCCTGGCCCGCGCGCCCGAGTCCGGGAAGAGGAAGGAAAGTTACCGCGTCGCCGCCGTCCCGGCTGCTCGCCGGCCCCAGGCTCGCCCTCCGCAGGGGGCCGAGGAGCCGCCGCGAGCGCCCTCCCGAGGCGCCGGGCCCCGAGCGCCGGAGGGGGCCCCCCGCGCCCCGGAAGTTTGCGGGTTCACTCCCCCACGGCGACCCGCGGGACGCACGCCCCGGCCCCGCCGACGGCGGCGGATAGGTGGCCCCACGCAGAGGGCCCCGGCGGCGGGGCTGCCCGATCGCAGAAATCGCTGTCCAGCCCCATTGGCAGAACCACCCGAGCCCCAGGCTGACTCAACCCTCCCGGCCGCACTCAACGGCGCCTTCCGGCGAAAGGGAGAGGCCGCAGAGGGAGGGGGCGGGAGGACCGCCGGCAGGCAAGGAGCTGCGGCGGGACCTGGAGCAGGAGCACGAGAGGAAGTTTCAGAACTAGGGCCCCAAGCAGCTCCGCTCCGGGCCTCAGGACAAGACTCCCAGGGACGCCCGGGCCCGCGCGGAGGCGGCGGCCCGGCCTCAACTGGGGAGGGGGTCCCGGCGCCGCGCCGCTCCCCACCAACGCCCCCGGCCCAGCCCCCGGACCGCGACGGTGTAACCCGATCCCGTTCAGCCGCCAGTCCCCGCCCGACGCGGCCGCCACCGCCGGAGCCACAGTATCTGCAAATCAGCCCTGGACAGCGCCTCGCTCCGCGTCCTTCCGCGCCCTCCCCCTCCCGCGGCCACCGCCGCCACGACCGCCCGGCCGGCCCGCCGCCCCCACCCGACCGTCTCCCAGACCGCGCCACGCTTACCGGTCTTCCTGGGCGAGGAGGGGCGAAGACCCGCGTCGCCGCTCCTTCTCGCACTACTTTTCTTTGTTGCTGGAGTTTCGGGGGAGGGGAGGGAGAGGGCGGAAAAGTTGGACGCTGGGGCAGTCGAGGCCCGCGAAGACCCAGGAGAGGGGCTGCAGAGAATGTTCAGGCCTCCGGCTCTCGCCCTACCGTCCCAGCCGCCGCCGCCTGGGGCCCCGGACCTCGGCGGCGCTTGCTCTGCTCCTGCGCCGTGAGCTCTCGGGAGCCGCACATTCCAGCACAGAAGGCTGCGCCGCGCACCCGGCCCGCGGCGCCGCCGCCGCCGCAGCCGCCGCCGCCACCCCCGGGACACGCCCCCTCCGCCTCCCGCGCGCGCCCGCGGGACACGCCCTCTCCACCGCCCCCGCGCGTGGCCGCCTGGCGCGCCCCGCCCCTGGATGAAGGAGGTTGCTCTGGGCCCCAGCCGTGCTAGGGGCGCGCCCACGGATAGCTGACCCTAAACTCCTCAGACCCCCAACTCTGACCCTTAGGTCTAAAGAGAAGCGAGGCCGCCTCCCTTTCTTGATTTCCATCATAAACGGAAAAGTTAACTCCCAGCCCTGGCGTGCATGCATGAGAACAGCACTGTTAAAAGAAAAATGTATAAGCTTTGTCACCCTCCCTTTCAAGTCTAAAGTGCTTGAAAATATCTTTAAGAATCTCTTCAAGTCGCCACCCTTAACTAATTAAGCTTCATTTTAAGCTTCTACGTAAAAAATGCCTTCCAAATTTTAAAATGTAAGCCAAAAAAACGCAATCAGTGAGTTGTGAAAAGAAAATGTTTCAGGAAGGTTGTGGATTCAAAATTGTGAGAATGAGGACAGAGGGGACAAGTCCCTAGACGTGGAAGGTCATTGCTGAGCCTTCAAAGCACTATTTCAGTGTAGCAATTACCCTCAGATTACAGAGGGTATAGAGGGTGGTGAGGACATGGAGGCTGCTTCCTGAGCAAGTTTTGGAGAGTAACCTGCTTCCACGTTTATAAAGTGGGGTAACCCATGCATGCTACCTGGTACATAGTAATATGCTAGAGAGAGAGGGAGAGAAAGAGAGAGAGAGAGTGTAGTTTCATGCCCCCTTCCCTTCTTTTTGTACCAGAAATGCCTTAGATGTCTTAAATAACAGCTGTCCTCAGAAATTGAATGGCTCCCTTAAACCCCTTAGTGTGGCATTCGAGATCCTGACTACCCAGATCTAGATAAGTTGGACTATCAGTTTTATAAAAGAAGTAGCAGCAAGTGCTTTGGGGGTTTAGAGGAGGGAGATAGTTTCTAACTAAGAGGATCTAGAAACCTCACAGTAGATGATTATCTGATCTGGCCTTGAGCACTGGGAGAATTTCAACAGGTAGAAAATAAGGGAAGGAACATTATACACAGTGAAAACAGCAAGCTCAAAAACCTACCTGAGACTTCCCTACCTCCTTCTCAGGCTCCCCCAGTTCCTTCTCTTTAAAGTTCCTTCACTTTTTTCTCTTATGGGAGAGCTTCCAGACTCTCTGGTCTACTCCTCAGTAGACTTCTTTTCCTAACTGTTGACAATGTTATTAAGTAATGCAATGTCAGATGCAAAATGGAATGAAGGTCCTATGGTGCTTAACCACAAAAGGTTTTGATACTTAATATCAAATTCAAACTCTCCCCATGAATCAAGAAGTATTCACCTTCATTGATCCCAAAAGAAAAAGAAAAATGCAGAAGGGAACGGTAAAAAAAAAAAAAGAGAATGGGGGGTGGGGGGAGTGTAGAAGGAATGAAAGGAAGGAAGAAAGGAAAGAAGGAAGAAAACCTTTGTAGGCCTGCTAACAAACTTTTTTGTTTTTTTGGCCACACCACATGGCTTGCAGGAATCGAGAGTTCCCTGACCAGGGATGGAACCTGGGCCCCTGGCAGTGAAAACGCCAGGTCCTAAACACTGCACCACCAGGGAATCCCCCAAACGTTTCTACATTTATTCAGTTAAAAAAAAATTTTTTTAACTAAAATCTAAGTTGAGGTTGCATGGGTTTTTTAGATGCTGTAGCCCAGGGAACAATTCTGTCCTCTACAAAGCCCTCAAAAATGTTAACATTCTTTCCCTTTTTCATGTCCAAAAAGGCAACATCTCTTTTTAAACTTACTAGATAAATGTCCTTCATTCCTCAGTCTGACTGCTTACTGGAAATGTTTTATTAATTGGGAATTTATTCCCACATATTGTAATGCAAATAGATGAATGGCAAATCAGCAGCTGCATTCATTTAAAATTAGCGGAGGCCCTTGTTCAAGAGATGGCATATTCAGAGTGACCCAAATTATCATGACATGAAGGCCACAGGTCAAATTCAAAGCCAAGTTACAAATCAATAGAAACTTTCCATGGAGAAGCTGGTTCTATAAACTAATTATTAATTGTTTTCAAGAAGCTCTGTGTTACTTTGCTGCATCCAAAATTTAAGATCTTCTGCAAAATAAAGACTTTAAACTGTCACTGACTTCTGGTTTTTAAAATCTGAGCCCATGGATTCTTTCCCAGAAATTTAATTCATCATTTAAAAATTTTTAATTGTCGTATGTTCTTAGTAATATTTTTCTCTAGAGATTCACTTCATAAGTTTGGTTAAATATTGTTTTTGAGCTTCTATGCTTTTTATTCCTGACCATGATTCGCTTTTTCTTCAGGAAAAGCTCAATTTGACTGAGCTCTTTTTAATGTTACACTGAAGTTCAATAATCCACTTTAAATGTTACATCTTGGTCTTCCCTGGTGGCGCAGTGGTTGAGAGTCCGCCTGCCGATGCAAGGGACACGGGTTCGTGCCCCTGTCCAGGAAGATCCCACATGCCGCGGAGCGGCTGGGCCCGTGAGCCATGGCCGCTGAGCCTGCGCGTCCGGAGCCTGTGCTCCACAATGGGAGATGCCACGGCAGCGAGAGGCCCGCGTACCGCAAAAAAAAAAAAAAAAAAAAATTCGGGTACAACATCTCCATCCTGATGGTGAAACGTTATGGTTCCACTATCACCAGCCAAAGAGGTAACATTAGACGAATACCTGGGGCCTTTCTCCCATTTTCCCTACATTTCCAGTTTGCACCTCCAGGAGTCTCCTCCAGATATAACTGATCCTGTAAGGATTAAAATCTGGCTCTGAAATTTGTGTTCTCTGAGTCAGCACAATTTCCATTTCTCATTTAGTTCACAGTGACTTACAATAACTTAACAATAACTTATAATAACTTAACAATAACTTACAGTAACTTAAAATATTGCTTTGTGCTCTCTACAATCTTATTCTGAAACTTTTGGTGATGGTAACAAAAGTTGTGATAGATTTGAGACAGAAAAGGAAGGGTTCAGGGCACAACAAATAAAAGAATGATATAACCATTAAGAAGATCAGGACATGACAGAAACGGGTTAGAACCTACTAGGCCAAAGATGGCAGAAGATTAGATTTCCAGTAGACTTTGAGCCTCATTATATGCTCATTGTAATACATTAGCATGCTAAATGAAACACACACAGGTGCCATCACAGTTCCAAGGCTGACCATAAAAGGCCAAAAAGTGGGTGGTGCCCCAATTCCTGGAAATCCCTGCCCCTTCTCCAAGATAGTTAGAATATTCCTCCCACTTGTTAGCCTTTGAAATTACCCAGTCCATAAAAAGTAAACACCTGCACACCCCAGGGCCTCTAGCCTTCTGAGACAGCCCCCAATCCGTCTATGGAATGTGTATCTCTCTAAACAAATTTGCTTTCACTTTACTAGCTCTTGAATTCTTTCCTGCGAGAAGCCAAGGACCCTCACTTGGCGCCCGTCCCACCGGAGACCTGAGACATGACCATCCTCTCCTGCCCCATTTTTCTGGCAACAGATTAGACAGTGCACTGGCCAGATAGGCTAGAGAATGCTTTCTCCTTCCCTATGTTGCTTTGAGAAATCACTGCTCTTGACTTTCTTCTGTAAAATGAAGAGGTTGTACTATTGATGGCTAAAATTCTCAGCAGCTTAGTAGTCTAAGGTGCTTTTTCTTTTCAATTAGTTTTTATTGGAATATAGTTGATTTACAATGTTGTGTTAGTTTCTGCTGTACAGCAATAAGGTGCTTTTTATTCTGTTAAAATTTGAATCTTGGGCTTCCCTGGTGGCACAGTGGTTAAGAATCCGCCTGCCAATGCAGGGGACACGGGTTCAAGCCCTGGTCTGGGAAGATCCCACATGCCATGGAGCAACTAAGCCCAGGCACCACAACTACTGCGCCTGTGCTCTAGAGCCCGCGAGCCACAACTACTGAGCCCACGCACCACAACTACTGAAGCCCACCCGCCTACAGCCTGTGCTCCGCAACAACAGAAGCCACCGCAACGAGAAGCCGGGGCACCGCAAGGAAGAGTAGCCCCGCTCGCAGCAGCTAGAGAAAGCCCACACGCAGCAACGAAGACCCAACACAGCCATAAATAAATAAATGAATTTATTTTTAAAAAATTGAATATTGTGCAGGTATTTCCTAGAACATATATATATTATATATAATATATATATTATATATATTAGTTCAATATACCTGGCAGTCCTAGTTTCTTCTTTGTAGCTTCTTTTGACCTCTGTGGGGAGACCCACCAGTAGGTCTTGAGCCACACTGGCTTCAAGAATGATGGTGTCTGAAGACAGGGATTTACGGCCTGATCTAGTGCTGTTGGTGGCAGCTTCATCTCCCCTCGCTGCCAGTTGGGCCCCGACCTTCTGTTCTGGTTCTGGTAACTGGAACACAGTGTCTTATCCATGACAGTATCTGCAGCTTGAGCCACAGAGGTGTTCCCTAAATGCTGAGGGACGGGAAGGAGGTGAGCAAGGGAGCTCCAGAATGAGCCGGGATCCTTCCTGCCTCCTCATGGAGCCCAG